AACAATAACAGTGTTTCTGCTCTGCATAATCATTAGGCATTCAATCCCCCCAAAACCCCAAAACCCCAAAACCCCAAAACCCCATCAATGTCATTTGGAATGGTTAAATTATCAATTTTTATTTGATTTTAGATTAAGTATACTAAAATATGAAAAGTCTTGCAAATGACAAATCAAAGAAAAGAGGAAGTGGCTATCATTTACTGTACATTTCAATTCTCATAACTATAACAGATTATTTCAAGAAAATTAGAGTCTTCAAAATAAACTAAGCAGCATAAGGCCGACACTAGACACTAAGATCTCTGATAGTCACCATCTGCTTTCGAATATGCTGAAAAGAACGAAAAAGATCTCTTAAAACAATCAGTAAACTAAAAATCGAATTCATTATTATTTAACTTATACATTAGGTTTGCTTAATTGGAAGAGGAAAATATAAAGATATTTCACAAACTATCATCAATAGTTGGTAAAAATAAACCATAAGTAAGCATATGATTTTTAGAATATTATAACTCTCCATATAGATAAATAACACTTTTAAAGATTAAATGAACTTGAATGATCCATCATAAAAAATGCTAGCATTATCAAACTCAATTCTAGGCGATAAGAGAATTGAATAGTCTTTAGTAATAACACAGGATAATGATATCAATAATACACAAGATACCTCTCAATCTTTAACAGGTGGAACAGTAACTAAAGGTCGAGCAACATTTAGAACTGTCTCTTCACCAAGAAGAAATAATCAAATACTTAATCCAATCAATACAGATCATCTAAGTTCTAAGCATACAAGAGCACCTACAACATCTCAGCCTTCAGCCACTAATAATATGTCGAAATCGTTCATGTCCACTCAATCTGGATTAGGCAATAATAAAGTAACAGCGGCTTCAGATGATCTTAATGAAACCACAAGAAACCTACTCATTATGAGAAAGAACAATGAGCGTATTTCGAAACTTAAAACTATTGATAATTAGAACTTCAAGATGTTTTAAAATTTGACTAGAATCAAATCTTCTCTATCAAGGTAGAAATTTGAAAGACATGAATAAACATCTCAAAGCATTAGATAAATGCTAGCAAGAGATAACAACAGATTAGATCCTTTGCTTACGATAGAAAAAGTAAGGAAGTAAATGTAAAAGAGATCAAACACACCATTTTTCAAATAGATCGGATAAAAATAATTAGCAGGAGTATCTTCTAATATAGATAAAACGACTAGCTCTACATCTTTTTCAAATGACCCTAGGACTCGTCAAAATCAAGAGGAACTTGGTATTCGTGATTCTAATAAAAATATCAATAGAATTTTAAGAGGCAATAGTTTAAATCAGAAAGACAGCAATTTACCACTGAACTAGTAGATGAATGCTACATTCTCCAGTATAAATAAGGATTCATTCACTGTATAAGCAGCTTCGCATTCAACTGAGAGATAGAATATTCATCTGCCAGCAAAGTTTATTCAAGCTTAAAAGCGTAATAGTGCTTAAGTCTATTACGATTTTACAACATCCAATTACTTTGGTTAAAACTCTCAACTTCAGGAGATTCAAGAAGAACGAAAAGATTATGAGGCGCAGCCTAACAATAGCATAGCATCCAAGTATAATAAGATCTATATGAGACAACCAAATAAAACTCAGTTTTCGAACTATATCAATAATTTTAGCAAAGAATTGAAGTTGAATACAAATAGACATAGTATTGAAGAGGGTACTGTATCTAAACTTCTACCATCCATAAAAGAAATTCACAGTCATCAAGTAGCTAAGACCTCTCATAGCAAATAAACAGCCAGACATACGCTATTGCAGAATTATAGTTATGATATGGATAACTCTATTAGTGGAGGTGGTGCTAATTCAAAGAGATCATTCAATAGTATTCAGGTTAAATAACCTATTCTTGATTTATACAAGCCAAATGTTAATGGGAGAGAGAAATAGTTCAATAAGCTGAAACTTAACTATAAATATATACACAATGAACATAGTTCGACAGGCAGAGAACATAATGAGCATTCAAATCAATTGTGATTTGATTGATACATATTATGTAGCATTAAGAATTGTGGGCATTTAAAGATTGTGATAGTATTTGATTATTTAGATAACAATCTATTCACAAAATACAATAAACTAATAAATATTTTAATAACTTTTGATAATTGTTTATAATTAATAAATAAAATGGATCTAAAAGTATTATTCCACAACCCAGATGAGTTGACAGACGTTGAGCTCCACGTTCTTAGAAACAAGATCCAACAACAGTAATTAATGCCCTACTTCTCAGCTGGTATTGCAGGCTTTGGCATGTATGTCCTCGACAACAAGATCTTACGTAGATTCTCCGATTGGAAGAGAATCGCTCTAGCTGCTTCAGCTGGTTTTGTGATCGGAGCTATTGGTTCTTATCAAGTTAGATCTACAATTCAAAGGAAGTTAGATATGGAAATTGTTGAGGCTTTCGAGACTAGATACGCTCAGACTGCACTTAATATGTCTGGCTTCGGTAATAACCATCTTAACGCTGTTGCTCATTCAGTTTCAAACCCTAAACAGAAGCCTTATTGAGCAGACATGTTTGTTTGTATAGAGAAAAAATATTCAATTTTAGGAGGAGCTATAAACTTCTTCTCTAATGTTGAAATTTCAATCTCTTAATTATTTAACTTAAACTTTTCATTCAATTTTACCCTAGCGGGGTTTTGGGGTTTTGGGGTTTTGGGG